AAATTAAGTTTGTGTCTTACAATAAACGCATACAAGTAGAATCTCAAGAGGGCAAAGTCATTGTTTTTAATTTGAAAGAGTATGAGTGTTTTCAGTGTTATAGTGTTCAGTATTTATGCACTGATTCAAAGCTGTAGAGTTTAAATATCAAAGCATAGGAGGAAATCTCTGATCTTTACATCAAAGTCCACTGAACAGAAAAGGCCCTCTTTGCAGCAATGAATGTCAGTGAAGGTCATGCAGCTTTCACCTTTATTTAGATAAGCAAAAGTATTGATGTGTGGAAAAATCCAATGTGAGTTGCATCTGAAACCAAATGTAGAAAATTCTAAGAAAACATGCTCTCTATATATGATATCTAGCAACCATAAAACCAGGATTTTTCCATCTCATAAACTAGTTTTTTAAAGAAACGTCTGCCTGCATTGATCCAAATAAGAGTACATGGGATGAACACTTATAGTTTCTTAGGTACAAGTGCATTCACCCTATATTCTCACCCTACTGCTGTTTTGCTCTTTGCATGAACTCAGGAATCTCGGATATGACTGTATCATTATGGGAAGGCATGAGGAAAAATAAGGAATATGCAGGCAACTAACCAACTCCAAAGAACACCTAGAACAACGAGCAGCCATTATTATTTCCATACTGCCTCCAAGCTTCCCACTGAAGATCAATAAGTATGATCTATTAATGTAAGGTTACAAAGAATCATAAACCTAACTGTAAAATGAATAAATACCTGCATCCAAACTTTAGATTCTTAAAAACAAAGCAGTACAAACCCTGGAGATCACAAATCTGCATTACTAAGTAGAAGCTGTCACACAAACTCTGATATTGCCAAGATCCTCATAACTAAAACTCTTGGGGACTAGCAAACCTTCAGAGTGGCCTTGCAACTGTTCCCAATTCAAAAATAAGGGGGAAGAATAAGCATTTTTGTGTCTTGCCAGACCCTTGCACAGAACACAAAACAATATTGTTGCATGTAGCCCTGTGTACAGAAAACAGTCAAGGACTTAGCACATGTTGCTCCCAAAGTACATGCCATTCTTCAGCTTTTTTAATCTGCATTTCCTTCAATCATTGTCAACAGTTAACAACTCACTAAAAGTAAGCAAAGGAGGAAACATCATGCTTTTCAACTGTCTGCTAGAACATGGAATAAATACATAGCTTTGAAAATATTCCATCAGTCTGACAGTCTTCAGTCTTGCTGGACAAATTTAACATTCTTGCAGATTTAGTCAATGAAAAGTCAAAGCAGCATTCCTGAATTTGCAATCAATAGCCAGAATAAACAGAAACATACAGAATAAAAGGTCTATTATAGCTTTCCTCCATCTTTATTTCCCCCAAAACTCTCATATAATCCCTGCTGTACAAGCCATACATACAAAACTTCATAAAATGACAGCATTTGGCTTGTCATTTAACCTGTAACAAGGCTAGTTAATACAAATCTGTGACAGTGTAAGCCAACTAGTTAGCCCTTGACTATTCTCCAGGAAACCTGGCTATTTTTCTTCCATTAGTCTTTACTTTTCCAAGGACTAATAAAATAGAAAATTGCAGTGTTGTAACTTCATTTAGAGGGTAGCATTCACACAAACCAGTGCTCTCAGTGAATGGCACAGCCCCAAGTATACAATCCCACAGTGTGGTGGTCAGGATAAATGAGCTAATTTACAACAATAAACTTATCAGATTTAGACTTATTTCATATTCGTAGACTAATACTAATCCCTTTGTTTTGCTTCACTACTTTAACATGATCTATCATAAAATTAATTAGGTGAATTATGCCTGAATTGGTGTATTTATATTCCCAAAAGCCTTAAAATGAAATAGAAACAAGTCAAAGTTAATTGATGAGATTTCTTATTATAAATACTCATGAAAAGTCACAGAACACTCTTAAGTGACTTATCTTTCCAGTGTTTCTTCAAACTAAGACTTCAGCCTAGAATGGCCCCAAGAGTGATAACAGTCAAATATAAAAAGTAATAAACTTTATAAACATGAAATAATGTGATAGCTCTTTAGTTTAAAATACAAACTTTACTTTGATTTGGTATTAATTCTACTGAAAGAACTTCTCATTTTTAAGTAGTGCCTTAAGATTGTCTTATTATCTTAAGGACAAGGTAGGTGAAACATTAAGTATTCACCACAGAATCTCAAGTGTACTTTTTTTCTTTACTCTCTCCCCAGATGTACTGTAGACTGAATCCATTTCTGCTGTGCAAAACCAGAATAAATTGTGTAGAATGGAATATGAAGTCTAAATCTTATAACTTTATTGTTGTAAACTAGCTCATTCACCCTGACCACCACACTGTGGAATTGTATACTTGGGGCTGTGCCATTCACTAAGAGAGCACTGGTTTGTGTGAATGCTACCCTCTAAATGAAGTTACAACATTGCAATTTTCCCTTTTATTACTCCTTATAAAAGTGAAGACTAATGGAAGGAAAATAGCCAGGTTTGCTGTAGAATAAAACAGATTCCCTCTCTCTTCATCAGCCTTTCTGACCAGATATCTCCGAACAGAACAGCAAAGTCTGGACTTTACATGCAACATTGTCACTTAGTGGCACATGGGTATTATATTAATAACTACAGCAAACTAGAGGACTTCACTAACACTGCAATTTTATTGGGAAACTTGTATAATGTACTGCCAGTATACAGTATTAATGCATAAACCACTAATGTGAAAAAGCTTATCTTCTGCAACAGAAAGACTGATAGGAAACAAAACTTCAGCTGTCAGCAATAAAGAGAAGTACATGCTGGAACATTTTAATACCAAATTTCTTGACATTTAAGGCAATTTTCTCCTTTTAGAGAAAGAAATGAGGAAAGCAATAAGCAATGAAACTACTGAGAAGTACATTAAAAATGGTGTGGTATAGCTAAACAGACAAAATGTTGCTTAAAAGACAAACTTTAATTACTTACAGGAAAATTGTAACACACAAATGACAGCACTTTTAAACCGTAAATTTGCTCCACAGTGAAGCTGAGTCTTTCAGTAACTGCATGTCATGCCAAAACAAAGTAAAAATGAATAACCTAGTTCAAAACTGTACAATACCGAAGCAGCAGAAATGCTTAAGAAGCCATATGATAAAAGAATATTAAAATCTCTTCAAACTGATCAGAAGCAGGCAGTCTGCAAAAGAATCTGCAAGCCCAAGAAATGAACAAGTATGAAAGGAGCCTTTGAAAATTCTAAGGCTACAATACAAAAGCCAAATGAATGATTTGTTTGTGATAGTGATTGCTTTCCCAAAGTTTTTAAAAACTAGGGATGAATGAACAAGGACCTGCCTGAAACAGTTTAGAGCACATTTGTGCATAAGGACCAAGTCATTAGGATTTAATGGTACTGCACAGCATGAAGTTGAAGAGTAGTAATGCCTCAAAAAAACTAAACAAACAACTCTGAAGGAGTCAGCGCCTAAGCACAGAGCATGACTCAAAGGAACAGTATTCCAGTCTTCAGCTAGGTCCTCCAATGGCATGATAGCCTCCATGAAAAAGAAGGGACCTTTAGTGTACTCTTAAGCCATTAATTCAGAAAAGAGAGGAAGTTAAGTCTTCATAAATTAAGATTTCAAATCTGCTTTCAGCATCAATGTGAAAAAAGCAGAATACTCAAAGCTAACCATGGCTCCAGCCTCAAATCTTGATTGTGACAAGATCCTCATGGTCAGAGCACCAGATTGAATTTAATACCATTTATTTCATGACTAATGAATCTGGAAAACTCCAGCCCTAGTCTTAAGATAGCTTCTACTCCCTTGAAAGTTCTGGAAATGTAGACAGCTCACCAAAACCATCATTACAAGCCATCTGATGTAAACAAGCTTATTAGTTAAGGAAAACAAGAGAGAACATTTAAAAATCTATCTCTGTTGAATACCATCAACTAGCATTGAATCCAAGATTTAGAAAACTGGCACAGGGCAGCAGAGATCAGATATGAAACCACACTCACATGTGGCAAGGCTGAATAGACTAAAACTTAATCCTTCAACATGACTGCAGAGGACAGATCTATAAAGTGACTGATAAAAGGCTTGTAGTAAAATGATTCATTTTTTCTCATAACATGAACTAGACAGTTGTCAGACAGGCTTAATATAAAATTATTTTTGTATACCCTTCAAATGTACTTTCATCTTTTAATAAAACACAAGTCCAGAGGAAAAGAAACATTTGGATAGGCTTAACGGGCTACAAATACAATAGATCACTAAATACTCACCCTGTTTAGCACATGTTTAAGCAAAGATAACCAGAAAGACTTCCTGGCTAGATGGGAGTTAAATCTGGCCAAGTATATACAGAGTTTGGTCCTAAATCCACATTAACTCACTTTCCTATGTAGGCAGTGGGGAGTCCCTGGCAGCTACTCTTATTTTGTATTTTCCTTGTGCATTCTAAGGAAGCATTAGCTAGTAATAGGATGCACATAGATCACTTCATGTTAAGACCTACCATTGAGGAATAAGCTTTTTACTTAGACATAAACAATATACAAGCTTTCAATTGCTCAACAACATTGATCTTGCTCTTCAAGTATCTTCACACTGGTTGTTCTTTACATGGAATATTTCCCTTTTTATTTGAAAGAGAGAGGTAATTGGATTCTTGTTTAAAGTTCAAGAAAATCTTTTGACTAGTTGGAGAACATGTGAATAACACATATAGCCTAATAAAAATGAAATTATTTGGAGGCTGGCCAATTGATCTCAAAAGTGGTTTTGCATTCTAAAATTCTTCAGAAAACCACGACCAGACATTCAGAATAAAAGATGAAGAGCACCATTTTCAATGGATTTTTGAGTTATAGATTAAGCTTAAATTTTGCACACTGCAAAACAATATTTCTGCATGACAACACAAAAGTGTTCCCATCCATGAAACAAAACAGTCATACAGGAAGTACAGAAACAAGAAACCTTCAGAACACAAACTTTGGTACCATTCTCATATTTTATTTCAATCCATGCACATAGAAATGTTACAGCAATTTCTATTAAGAAACCCATTTCAACAAATGGCGAGGTTCCTGTTTAAACATGATCGTGGAAGATGTGTAGTTTTAGCCATTGCTTGTCTCAATTCCACTTCCAAGACAATACATTACAGGTGACAACTGGAGTCATCTAGTATGAATTCAGAAATCAGCCACTCATGAAATCATGATCTGATGTTTAATATCAGTTCAAATTGCTCATATATGCTGGTTTCCTTCCTGTAAGAGAAGTTTGTGATTTGCAGTAAACATCACACACATAAAAGAGGTAACTGGTCTAAGGCTGAACTATATGAACATGTTACATGACACTAGCCCTTATATCAGAGCTATTTCTCAATACAAATGTCTTCATTTGTACAGGACAGGATTTTCCTTTTCCATACCATTAGCATGGATTCTATTCCAGAGGACCAGCCAGATTAGAATAAGTGGATCCAAAAGCTATCATAAACTTTCCTCAGATTTCTCCCAACTTAGATTGGCTAAATATATATATAAAGTTCTAACAATTATCATGCAGGTTTCCACTAGTCCAAAGTAATTTTGTTGTTGATTTTTTTGGATTTGTTTGGTTTTAGGCAAGAAATAAATTAGATATACAAGGCAAACAATCCACTAACATCTGATAATCCTTTTTACACTACATACCTGGAAATGAACAAATTTACAAGGGACACTTCTCACTCAAGATGTTTATCACATGGGTTCATAAAGCACCAGCACACTTGAGAAACCTGAAAAAGATTTACATGAAACTGATACTGAGACTCATCATGATAATCAGATGACAGTTATAAACCTACCTACAGGCTATTAATGAAGTCGATTTAGTAGCTTCCTGAAGTTCAGTAGTTTCATTAATGTGTTCCTCTCAGCATGATCCAAAGAAAGAGTTTCAACCTCACCTCTGGGTTTGAGAGAGAACTTCTATACCCCTCTGTGTTGGCCACTTAAGACACTTGACAGACTTAAGAGGGCAAAGCATAAAAGGGGAATAGATTATAGAACTTTTTTTTCTTATTGACTAAAATAATCTGAACTTAACCATTTACTCAAAAGAGATATTACAATTTGCTTGAAATTTGGGAATTATCAAAAAGCAAGATTTAAAAATACCTGCAACTGTCATTATACTAGAGCACACTTACCTTGTAGCAGAAGGTAGTGTCCATTCCTAAGTCCCAAGCATTGCTTCTAATTGAGGTGTGATCATCCACATTTAGAATATTTCTAACATGAAGTTGCTAAATAGCATCTCTAAACAGAACAAAAAAAGTATAGTTGATATTGTCTAAATACAGACCTCCTCAAAGCCATATTCTGCAGTTGCTATTATGTTGAATTAGACCTTCTTAAAGTCATATTCTACAAAGTTGAATAAGTCATTTAAATAAACTCTATTGTCAAATAAAGGCCTGGAGCAAAAGATAGTCAATGGTTCAATGTGTTGAAAAAATTGTTTTAATTAGCTCATTTAAACTATATAGAACATCTTTTTAACATCTTCTAAAATGAAACAACAAAGTTTATTAATCTTCAGTTGCTTTTAATGTTGACACTACCCTGAAGTTAACTGCAAATTTAGATTTAACAGACTGATATTTACCAGCCAATACATTGCTACCTTGTGCTTATTTATAAATACCTTTTAACAAATCACACCGAGCTCAATCAAGAGACATCAAAAGTCACTGTTAACAGACATAGAAGACTAGGCCAAAAGCCTACACAGTCTGTGATTTCACTTGAAAAGTCCAGTTGAACTTAAATGCCTACAGCATTTGGTAGCCTGAACACTGTGGGTTATAACTGTAAATCTTCTTGATGCAGGCAATAAAAAAAAAAAACAGTCTGATTTAAGGTCAATGTAGCTCAATAACTGCAACTTAGACAAGAGGAGGAGGGTACAAAACGTAGACAAATATTTCTTTAAAGGTCACATGGTGATACAGAGCCCAGTACCCTCAGATATGTATAAGTGGTACAAAGTCTCAGGAGCCAAAGCCCTCCGTTTCCGAAGCACAAAGCCTTACGCGCCCAGCCCCAGGCTGTGAGATACGCGATGAGGTCGGTGTGCCCCCTTACCTATGGGTGTGAAGGCACGACTCCAGCTCGCCAGAGCTTCCCACTGGCATGGCCTACAGTGCTTTGCCTCCTGCGGCTTCGGCAGAAGCCAAGCGCGGCAGGCCGGCGGACAAACCCCTTCGGGGCCATTTGAAGGCCTTGCCGGTACCTTGGGACGCTTTCTGCCGCCTTCCTCCCTGCCGGGCGGCCGCCACAGGGACGCGTGCGGCCCGCGCCACACACTGCAGAGGGAGAGAGAAGTCAGCGCGGAGCAGCGAGCGGGGCGGGGCGGGAGAAGAGAGAGGGACCGCTTGTGCCTCACGACAGGATGCAGGGCGGAGGGGACGGCTCCGCACTGGGTTTCTGTGAGGCAAAGGTACTCTATCCCCCTGTGTTGACTCCCCGGAGCACCGCCGGGCTCCGAGAGGGCAAGATGTGAAGGGAAGACGTAAAGAGGTCCGGTCCCGTTCCGTCCCATCCCCCTACCCTACGCCACGCCCGTTCAGAGCCCGGGGCTCCGCGGGGGAAGCAGCTGCCGCAGGCTTACCGCGGGAGCGGCCGGCAGGGAAAAGGAGAACGTGGCGCCTCCCGGGGCCTTAAATACCGGCCCGCCGCTCCCGCGAGACCCAGCGCGGCGCCCGCCGGCGGTGGGGGCGGGGCCAGGGGAGCCAGCGGGAAGGGCGCCGCTGTTCAGTGGTAGAGCTGGGTCACGTAACCCCGCCAGGGCGGGGGGTGTCGGCCATGCTGCCCCTCCCCTCCGCTCCCCCGGGGCCGACTGGCCCGCGGCAGTCGGGGATAAGGCCGCGGCCTTGTGCCTCGGCGAGAAGCGCTCCGGTTGCTTAGCCGCGATCCTTGCGGCGGTGGTCATGACAGGGCTTGCATCTTCGTGGGACGTAATTGCAGGTCCCTGCTCAAGCCGGGCTTTAGGAACCCGGAGGTCCTTAAAATAGAGAAACAAAAATGTCGTCGGTGTTATGCAGCAGCTGTGTAGCGGTTTTGAGGAACTAAGTACTGCTGATCTCTGTCTAAACTCTCATCTAAACCCTACTTTAGGAGGCTTAGGATCTGTCTGTAAGGATAGTGAAGTAAGCCGCAAGCCTGCGTTAATATGCTCGGTGATGTTAGAGCACCTGCAGCTCACTGGAGCACGCCTGGGCTGCAGTTCACAGGGTGGCACAGTGGAACCAGGCCTGTCCTGAGAGCTAGCACACAACATGGATGCAAAACACGGCTGCTGTTCTACCTCAGCTGACATGTGCTGCCTGACCGGGGATACTTAAAAGAGGTGTTAGGGTGAGTACAAGCAGATCAGTATAAACTGGGAATTAGTACTTTGTAGCACAGAGACTTTGAATGTTGTCCAGCAAAGCTAGTAGGTAGGAACCACAGCATCTTAGTTTCTGTGGTGGTCTGAATTCAACAGAAGTCCCTGCTTCACAAGGAGGTGGATGTATTGCTGATAATTAATAGCGTTCTGTCACAGTGAGAAACAGTATGTCTGTCTTGGCTCATACTGAGTTACTATCAACATAGCACCTGTAGGTCCATGGAAAGAAACTTAACAGGTTGGCCCACTACTCCTGAGAGTTTCTTGAACCCTGCATTTAAATTACCCTCTGCAGATCTAAACCCATCTGATTCAACCAGAAACAAACATTCACATAGTTACAATCAAGGGATAGCTCTATAAATTGTTTCTTATCACTTCTAGTTACTTCTGTCTCTTGATAGTTGCTTAAAACATTGTTGCAGATGTAATCTCTGTGCCAGTAAATTTGTTGTGAGTAGGTCAGGATTGAAAAACTGCCTCAGGGCTCTAGATCAGTCACTCTGGATATGAATTTATGAGGCATGTAGCTTCAGGTTATTTCAAGTGGGGTGTCTGCAATAACCATTTTCTACAGTTAGATACATAAGTCAGATCAATAATTTCTTGTGACATAACCAGAAAAATGAAGTGGTATCTAATCTTTACACTTTTACCACCTGTGCCAGGCAGGTCAGCTATGCCAGTAGATGTTAGGTCTGTTTACATTAGGTCACTTCCACTTTAGGTAGATGTGAAGAAGAATATCGGAAGGCCTACATTTTTAAATTAGCCGTGGCAGCTGGATGCTTGATTATTTTGTGGATTTAGTGTTGAGCTTTTTAAGCAGTCTGTGGTGATCTGAACTCAATTGTCCAAATCTCGAAGAGTGGTGCTCCAACCAGCCAAGTCATTGTGGGATGCATGAATTTAATCTCAGAATCGCTGGTCTGATACCTCACTTGGTTCAAAGACTTTTGAAAAACATTTGTTTAAAAACATCATGTTGGATTCACCAAAATGCACAATTGTCATTAATGTTTCATTTCAATTTCAATGTCTTCCTGCACACCGATATGAAGAAAAACCAGACAAGTAAAATTTTGATGGAACCATCAGTCTTTGCAGTAAGCATCTGCATCAAATAATTAGCAGGTTTGAGACCTTACAATGTAGCAGCTTTTTAAAAAAAAAAAAAAAAAAAAAACCAAACCAAAACAAACAAAACCATAAAAAAACCCTATTAAAAGTTTGATATACTAATGTAAAAAAAAAAAAAAAAATAATTGGATTAATTTATGCCACAGTTTCCATAAAATGAAGAGGCTATTTTAAATTCATGCTGCAAATAGACTAAATGCCACTTACAGCCTGTCTGCTGTCAAAATATCCTTTGTGTCTTATCCTTAGAGTGTATGTTAGTTAAAATTAGAGCCTGTAGAATAGAACAAAAATAATAAATAAAATATTTGGATAAGGAGGGCAAGTCAGAATCGTTATTTCCTTTCCAGAAGTAGAAATAGCAATACATTTCTGCTGGAAACTTAAGTTTTCTGTTGTTTTTGTTCAGTGAGTCTCTTCTTGTTTGATAAGTTACTTCCATGGCTAAAAATTTTGGTTATCTCTTTCTAGCCAATATGTATGATTAAAACTTAAATAGTATCTTTCCAACTGAAAGCACATTTTTTTAAAAGGTAAGAAAAATGCCAGTAAAGTTTGCTAGTGAACTTCCTTGGTGAATAAGATACCTGATAAAGAGGCCATTCTTCAAGTTCCTACCTTACAGAAATTTTCAGTTGAGTAGTGAGTGTCAGGGAAGATTAATATTGTGTAAACTGATGAAGCAATATATAGAAGTTCTATTGTTGTGATTGTTCAAAGCTCCTAATACCATTTTTTTAAACACAATTAAGCAGAAGGAGAAAGGCAAGAGTAAAACATTACAAGATAATCACAGGCCATTATCAAGCATCAAACTGACTGCAGAGGCCTAACCAGCCTGTTAGCCCCTTTTATCTACTCAGTTCAGTTCTAAATATATTTGACATCAATGTATTTGCATCTGTGTTATTCTGCTGTCTTTGGGCTTTCAAATCTGATGTCTGGGAAAAAACAAAAAAAACAAAAAAAACACAAACCAAAAAAACCCACCCCAAAACAAAACAACAAAAATAACTTAGATGCTGTAAATGTGTTTTGTTTTCTTCTGTAAAATAGCAGTTTCCAAGAAAAAAGAAGAGAAGGTGTTCCCACTCTGCCAGATAGTATAATTAACAAAGATATGCAAGACTCAGAGATTAATTAAATACAAAGTTTTATTTTCTGTGCTTTGTATTTGGTAGGTGACAGTATGACATGTTAGGATTTAAAAAATAAAGCTTTACTGTATTTTAAATCAAGAGAAATTATTTCTCAGATAATTTGAAAATGTTGGGTAGGTGTTGCTTTGACACTGAAAGTCTTAAAGAAAAACAGTAATTCCAAAGTTGGGGTTGGGTTTTTTTAGAGTAAGGGGCCCCCCAGAAGACTCCCCACATTTTTTGTGGGTTGCCATGAATTTGTCATGGACTACAACTCATTCTTACCATCAGAATTTCAGGTGTAAACAGAGTGGCTTCTGTGGACCTGCCATGAGCCATGTACTACAGCCTTGGTCCTTGGACTGCAAGCTGGCATTTGGTATTGTACTAAAGCTCCCACTCTGCTCTGCAATGGGGACTAAGCTTCACGGAAAATCCTTAGGGCTCATGCTTGTGTCTACTACATCTTTGACATTCTGTGAAAGACATATTGATACTTTTTGTAGAACATAATTTAATGTGAGATATAATATATTTTAAAAATTGTAAAATGCTAAACATACATTGTCAGCACTGAAAGTATTTCACATATCTGAATTCTCTTTTAATTCTTGTTATATATTCTCCCACCTTGCAGAAAACCTAAGTATGGTTTTAAGTGCCCTTTGCATTAAAATGCCCTTTTAATTGCCTGGAAAAGTATCTTAAATTTGATTCTGTTCCAAACACTTGTTCAGCAAAACTCACTGATGAATACCCATTTCTGGACCAGAGCTTATTACAACATAACATAAATGAACCCTCTGTGGAATTTTCCAAGATTTCTGGAGAGGAAATGCAATATCCTCTTTGTAGCACAGAATGAGCAGATATTCCAGTCCCACCTTGCTACTAACTTTCCTTTGTAACTTCAGACAAGTTGCTAAATTTCTGCTGCCTGTTTTCTTGCTTTGTAAAAGAAGCTAATATTAACTTGCCACCCCATAATTTGACAAGTCTGAGTGAATGTTTGCAAAATACTCTGAGAATGTCAGATGGAAAATGTTATGAAAGTCCAAGTCTCTGCTAGCCAAAGAGGATATTTACAATAGGTTCTTATTTTATGTAGTGAAATAAAAATGTTCAAGCGTATAACCAGATGAGACCAAGACTGATCTAAAATTAAATGCAGGAGGCATTTTTTGACCTTTCAACAGAAATTATATAAGTACACTTAGGTTATAAATAGTTCTTTGTTTTCCATCTCTTTGTCTAACTCTCAGAAGAAACACAGGGTTGGTTGTTTGTTATAAAGAGATAGGGCAATGCTTTAGAGTGGAAACAATTGTTCACTGTTCTTGATTTATACAGTTCCTCTAATGTTTGTAACTAGCATTTGTTGCTTTTCTTAGCATTTTTTTATCTTCAAAAAGCTACAAAAATAAACTTTCTAGTCTTGAAAATGACACCAGAAGAAAACCAAAACACTCACTAGCCCAATTCAAGTATGAAAGTTTCTTTCCTCTTTCCCAGTTTGATATGTGACTGACAAGCAAAAAAGCCAGTGCCAAATTATTGTTAAACTGGCACATAAACACTTGTGTATTATTTCTTATTTTTATTATGAATTATAAGACATTAAATATGTCCACCTCTAAATGAAAGCATTTTTATTAATGTTAATGATACTGAATTCTTCACAGAATAATTAATGTGTGTGTGTATATGCATATTTCCAAAGATGCTTATTTTCAACAGTAGTCATTTCCTTGAACAACCTTGAATGCTTAACTAATAGCAATTTAATTTTGTGTTTAAAAGTTTAACAAACAGAAACCCTTCCCTGAAGTCAAGTAATTGGCATCAGTGAGAAAGCAAAAGTATTAAAATACCACTTACCTTTTTCTTACTTTTTTGTTTCCCTACTTTGTATGACTTCTCTGAGGTTTGTACTAAGGGAATAATGTCCTTGACATTAAAACATGTGTGAGGTAAACGGTTTTAATAGTTACCACATTTAGTTTCATTTAAATTTTTAACCACATTTCAAACCTACTCATTTCTTTCATAACTTTTCACTGAGAGCAAGTACGATTCTCTACAGTAAATTGGAAAGAACAGGCTGCAGCAAAGAGTGCACAATTAGGCTTCTGGAATAAAAGAGATCTGAGTTTAAAAAGACCCATAGTGCAGTACTGTCAGCCTCTGTAGGCTACTTAGAAATGCACTGGAGACCAGTCAGGCCTTGACTGCTTCAGAACTGAGGTGGGGGGTGTCCAGTCCTTAAATGACACCTCAGCTTAACTCTCATTTCCTGTGGTTATGTCAAGAAAACCTGTGATATTACGTATAATCCAGCCTTCTGAGTTTAAGCAAATTAAACACTTGGGACCAAATTTACACATAATGTAAACCCATGAACTTAACAGAATTATACCAAAGATTTTTTGAGGGGATTTTTAGTGTTACAATATTTGATGGCTCTTTTACATAGCGATTTGTGGATTTTTTTAGTAGCCCTGACAACTTCACTCCATAAATGTCAAAAAATATTTTTCCACCCTGTATTTCAAATGACTGAAATGATTTAATATAGCTAATACAACTTCCTGAGGAAAGAAAGTTTGTTCTCCATGACAACTCTATTTTCAGTGTCTTCGCTGAAACTGTCAACAGGATGCCAACTAATGCCAAATTTGATACCGTTTTTATAAAGTGGGCACTCATCCACAATGAGCTGGATCGAGGCCACCTACCTAACAGTATTCTGAGGGTAGGAATTTATCTTTAGGTGCTACTGCTGATGCCAGATTTTTATTAATAATCATAAACCTCCTATTGAAATAATAATAAAAAAATTCTGACCTCAGAATGTTTCCTGTGAATAAAGCCTGTGGGGCAGGGCTCTACAGACTGAAATTAGTCTGTACTAGCACCATGATGTAAAAAGTGTAGCCAAGCCTGAGTGTGCCATACTTCCAGGTGCTGTTAGGAGCAGAGGTGCCTGTAGAGACACTAGCAGTTCTCTCTCTTCATTGGAATGATTTCCTCAGCGTAGCAGAGGAACAATAAAAGGGCCTTAAGCTTCTGCTGAAAAGAGCAACATCTGCTAAGGAAAAGGGATATTCTGAGATGATGCATTGCCCTACCTGAACCCTGTTCTTGCTTCTCTCAGAGATTTGCTGTGTGGCCTCATGTCAGCTGTTTAACAACCTTGTGCCTATTATCACAAGTGTAAATTTAATACACTCATACTGTTCTACCTCGGAGAAAGGCATGGGCCTCGACTTGCTTGTGTTTGGAGAGGAATTGAGATTATTGCATTCATGGTGTTGTATAAGTGCCACGTGTTGTAAATTTATGAGTGAGCACTTTGGCACTAAGATGTGTGGTGTGGACATGATCCCAGAGAGCGTCTGTGAAGGTCAGTGTTGTCTGCAGGGATGGCAACGCAAAGCACCTACTGTGGGCAGTAAATTACATTCCAGCCTTCTGTTCCGGGGTTTGCAAGCGCTTGGGCTCCCGAGTACATCAAATTAGGCTGAGAGCACGTCCCAAAGTACAGTGCTGCCGCACGCCGGTGCCACCCTGCCTGGACCCTGCCTTCCTGTCCTTCGCCCGCTGCCCGCCCGCCTGAGCCTGTGGCCGCCGAGACCCGGCTTTGGCAGCCCCGTGGCCATTCCGGGCCTGGCGATGAAGACCCCTCGGCTCCCTCCGGCGCCCCCCCGGGGGCAGCCCCCCGCGCCCCCT